ACCACAAGGGCACCTGTAGGGTGAGTGGGAATTGTCTGATGGACCTCATCTGCATACGTGCGAGCCTGTTCCCAAACCCTTCTATGTTCCTCGGGTAGGAGGGTGTTAGAGAGAATGATATATATATCATGGTAGGTTAGGCTGTAAGACTGGAGTAGATACTGAAATTGTTTGACATAGGTTGAGGGCTTAGTTGTATAGGAGCCCAGGCGGGCTTCGATTTGGGAGAGATTGAGCATGGAGAAGGAGACATGGACCCTGACAATTTCCTCTGATCCGCTACCTCCCAAAGGGGTGCCAGGAGGGAAGGGGGGAAGGCTGAGCAGCGAGTGTGTGTGATCCAGTAGCAGGGGGCTGATGGAGGGGGAGGGAGGAGAAGGGGTGGAGGGTGCAGTGGGGGTAGGAGGTGGCAGCGATGAAGGGGATGAAGAAGCAGGAAGTGGAGGAGCTGCTAAAGATGGCAGAGCAAGTTGTGGAAGAGGAGGATTGGGCGGAGCCTGTCGGCGGTATGGAGGGGGCTCATCAGCGGGGTGGAAATCCGAAGAGAGGGCGGAGGTTGAGGTTGAGGGCTTTAGAGCAAGAAGTACATGCTTAGGTTAGCAAGTGGTGCAGAGGGCCGGATTTAGACGGAGGTATGAAAAGCTTGGGCATAACGGAATCTCTCCGCATGGTCCGCATCGCTCACAGTCGTTACATAGGTCCCGCAGGAGGTTGGGATCTAGAGACCCGAAAAGGGGCAGTGACTTTGGTTGTTTAAAGGATAAGTGGGCCAAATTTGAGTGCAAAAGCGGATCAAATTTTTTGTTTTATATCTGGGGTCAAACCCAAGGTGTCCAAATTATTGAGGAGGCATCTCAGTGGGGAGTCAGATGGCAAAGAGGAGGAGGCCCCCATATTGGGACCTGGTCCTGAAAAGGGTTGGGAGGATATTATTAATCACAGGACATCCCCACATGGCTCAAATATCCGAGAATGGTACAAGACGCACAAGAAGCAGTCGTCACTGCGTTCTGGTGGCTTGTAGGGCCAAAAGGCCGAGGGGGCTGTGGGTCACCCAGTGCCAGGCTTTTCAGAGGGCGGCCTCTGAGATGGAGAACGACAAAGATAGACCCAAGCTGAGGCTGATCGGGAAAGAGGTCTTTCCTCTACCGTCTGAGCCCCAGAGATGATCGGAAAGGGGGGACGCTGGAACCCTGGAGACACCGAAGGGAGAGACCGTAAAGGGAGCCCAATAAGGGTATGTGGACTCACCAAAGGATGTCCAGTGTTGGATGCGTGCAAGGGCAATCAGGAGGATGAGTCCTGGCCAGTCACGTCCTCAGGGTGGTCGTGGGGTGAGTCAGAATCGGGGTCCCACCAGGATTAGTGGGGAAACCTGATCCGAGTCAGGGCACCAAATGTAGGCCCCAAAGTGACCACAAGGAGAGGAGTGATCTGGCCAAGAGATTCTTTATTGCCGGGTGGGAGAGGGAGAGAGCAAAGAGAGAGAAAGAGAGAGAGAGAGAGGGGCAGGGGCTTAAATATCCCTCAGTGAGACTCAGCATGATCTGATTGGTTAGGATCTTATGGTTCATGCTGACTGGAGGTTGGGGCAGAAGGAGGATTCAAGCAAGACTTGAGGCAGGACTGTGACCCTGGGAAACAGAAGTTTAAGGGTGCAGTAAGAACTGAAACCCATCAGAGCCATTGTTGCCAACAGTGGGGGGTCTCTCCTGGAAAACAGACTCCACCGGAGTGCCGGACGCTCACGGTCACATTCCTAGGCAGTCTTTCCCAGTTTGGCACAACCTACCAACCTCAGGTGATGGCTGGTCCCTTCATGAGTCGCCAAATATGATGCATGGATGACGTGCGCAGGAATTTCAGATGCTCAGGGTTCTTGAGCCTGCTCTGAGAATGAAAGCACAGGCAGACTCCAACAGCAGAGGTCAGAAAGATTTTATTTGTAGAGAATTTAGTTGGAGAAAAGAGAAGAGAAAGACTGCATATTGGGGAATGCAGGGGGACCCGGAAACCAGGTCAGGGTGGGGAGTGGGGTTTTATAACCTATTTGTATTGCCTGATGGCAGGAGATGCCTTTCAGATGCAAACAGGGAGATCTGTGTCTCTTTGACCTCCTGAGGTCTGTCCTTCAGTCCTTCATAACCTTAGACGGAAACCTCTGAAACTGAGCCAAAATAAGTCTTTTCTCCTTAAGTTGTTTTTCCCAGATCCTTGTCACAGCTATGAAAAACTAACATACTGCCTTAGGGTAAGGAGTAAGATGATAGGCAAAAGCCTACCATCTTCCAACATGCTGGATTGTAGTTAAAAAATAAAGCTCTTTCTCCATCACTCTACCTCTAAAGTCAGTGACTCCATTAGGTGGCAGCAAACTGAACGTTATGTGCTGCATTATTTTCCCCCAACTTTTTTTTTTTTTTTTTTTTTTTGTGGTACTGGGGTTTGAACTCACGGCTTTGAGCTTGCAAAGCAGACTCTCTACCACTTGAACCACATCTCCAGTCCATTTTGCTCTGGTTATTTTGGAAATGGGGGGGGGGTCTTGTGAAATATTTGCTCAGGCTGGCCTCAAACCTTGATCCTCCCAATCTCAGCCTTCCAAGTAGTTAGGATTGTAGGTGTGAACCACCAGTGCCTGACCCAACGTCTTATTTTGAAATATCTGAGTCAATACAAAACCTGGTTCTTACCTGGGTGCTCCAGGACAGGTGGGGAGGCAAGCACACAACCACCTGCAAGATGTACACACTCAGAATGAGTAAAATCCTCCCACAAAAGAATTTCTCAAACCAAAATTGTAAAACATGTGAGAACATTAAGGAACGTATTAGCCAAATGCAAGAGGTGGGTCTTTGTGGATTCAGATTTGAAAAAAACAGTAGTGGAGCCAGGCACTGGTGGCTCAGGCCTGTAATTCTAGCTACTTAGGAGGATGAAGGTTAGAGGACAGCTCAGGCAAATAGTTCGCAAGACATCCCCTCTCCAGAATAACCAGATAAAATGAACTGGAGGTGTGGCTCAAGCAGTAGGGTGCCTGGTTTGCAAGCACAAAGCCCTGACTTCAAAGCCCAGTCCAACCAATTGAAAAAAAAAAGAAAACCCAATAAAACACCAGTGATTTAAAGGACATATCTGATAAAGTCAGGCTGGGCATTAGGTCTTACTTTTTAGGTGTATGTATGGATATTGTGGTCATGTGGTTTTTATCTGCGACAGATTCATACTAAAGTGTTAATGAATAAGGCGATATAATGTCTTAGATTTGCTTTAAAATATTTCTGTTGGGAAGTGAAGAGAAGTTTAACAAGATGAAATAAGATTGGCAAAATGTTGGTCTCAGTAATTACTGAGACTGATGATATACACACCATTCTCTTCTATCATGTACAGTTGACATCTTCCATAAAAAAGAAGTTGACTTTTTCAAGCCAAACTAAAGCTCCTAGAAACAATAACAAAAGGGCAGGGGTGGCAGTCTGTGTGCGCATATATGTTTAGGTTCTTGAAGGGGAAAAGATAAGAGAGATGAAGAATTTTAGACTCTTAGAAAAATATACAGTCAAATCCATAGCTAAAAATTTGAGAGTAACCACTGAGAAACTAGAACTATGTCTTAGAGCTTCCAAATCATCACAGGAACATAAGAATAATCTGAAAACGTATACAACACACAGCACAAATGAAGAAGAATAGAAGTACAACCGAAGGACGGCAAATGGCAAAATTGGTTTAATAAAGAAAACCAATACTTTTGCTATAATGAGGCAAAACAAAAGGAGGGAGGATAAGCAAGAAAGATATGTATAACAATTCAAGAAAAGGACGACCAGGCCAAGCATGATGCTATCCAGCTGTTCAGGAATTGGCAGCAGAAGGATCATGAATTCGAGGTCAGCTCAGGCAAAGTCAGTGAACATATATGGGAGAGAGGTGATATTCTCCAGGGACAAGGCTCTCTCCTGACCAGGGGACCCTTCTCCAGATTCAATGTCATCTTGTCCTCTTAGACCAGAGAGTTGGGTGAAGAATGGGTGCCATGACTGCAGGGGCAGTGGAGCAATGGGAAGAGTCTTTAGGCAAGGCATGTCCCTGAGGTGGGACACTGGCAACTGAAGCTAACAGTGCACCAGAGCCCAAGAGGAAGACAAAACCTTAGTAGAACTCCCTGTTCCAATGTGCAGACCACAGATTGGGGGCTGAGTCCAGCCACACCCCACAACAGTGCTGGAGGTGGTCTCCTGACCAAGTGCCCAGGTCCAACAGCAGAACAGGAGAGCACCAGGTGGCTGAGAATGAACAGAGAGGGAGCCAGCAGCACACTAAGACCCCATAAAGATGCCATGTCTGCAGCACCCTGGCCTTCCTTTGCCAGCTTCCAAGTGAGGATTGTTCTGCAGCTCGAGCAGAGAGACAGAGTGGCATGAAATCAGAGAAGGCTGGCAAGGTATCCCCAACATATGCACCCCTTAGGGGATCCATCCTACCATTGCTTGCCTTGTCAGCTCCAGCCTCTCAGACCAGCTCCTAGGCCTTAGGCTCTCCCACGGCTTCCTGGGCCACTGTTTGTGAGAACTTTTCCTGGCTGGCTCACTCACCTAGTTGCATGCCTGCGCTGGGGTAGAACTTCTAGCCTGCTCCTGACTCTCCTTTCTGCCCAAAGCTTGTCTCCTCCACAAGGCACAGCAGACAGCATGCACTGAGAACCATTGGGCCAACTAAAATAGGGAGCAATCACACTGGCAGAAGAAATTAGGTCATTCACAGAGCAAGAGAGAACAAGCACTGGACAACAAATATGGGCAGTTGGTGCATTCCTACAACCCAGGGGGCTGGCGAGAGAAGTCCCCAAGACACCGCTGGTGAGTGATCAGTTAGTGACCGCCTTTTCTGCACTAATGCCCACATTATCTAGCTACTGCACCTTCTCCTGAGACCTGGGGTGGAACAGCCAGTGTGGATATGTGGGGGACCAGGGGAGGTGTAAAGGAACCAGAAAGTGTCAAACTAAAGAAAACACAAGGACAAGCACTAGGGTTTTCTCTTTTAATTATTACCAGATTAAAAAAGAAAAAAAATAGCGATTGTTTCTTTTCACCCCCAACATTTCCATTTACCAAGGTCCAGTAGTAGAGGAATTCACAGAACACTAATTCATGCTCCTGGCCTGGAGCAAAGTCCTCCCGTCTGCTCTGTGCCACCTCCGGCGGGAGGGGCAGGGCAAAGGACTCCAGGCAGAGTCCTCATCCCTGGGCAGCAGAGTGGCAGTGTGGCTGTCTTTTTTTTTCCATGTTGGAGCGTTCTGACTCTCTGCTGCCTTCCTTTTACACCTTGTCCCCAATCCATGGGAAGAAGGGAGAAGACAGGCCCGCAGGAGGCAGGGAAGGTGCTGAGCAGGCCGAGGGAAGCAGGTGGGGAAGACCCAGCAAGAGGCCATAGCTGCTGGCTCCTATTGCACATCCTGGCTCAGATTCCCCTGCCCTGAGCAGAGACTACATAGTCAAATGCCTTCCGGATTCAAACAGGAAGCCTGCTGCTGTGTGCCAGGCTCTAGGAAGGGAGGTGTGGCATTGTGTGGTTTGTTCTGGAACATATGTATATGTATATTAAGTTATTCCATGACGGGACCAAGGCAAAAACTTTGCCTCTTTGCAAAAGGATATGGAGTTTGGACACCCTGGAGCCCTGTAGTTACCTGGGCTTCTCCCAGTAAGTTCAAGAGGTCAAGACTAACCCTTTCCCCATCAGCAGATCCGCTTCTGGATAAGAAAGAAGAGGCTATGACCACCAACCACATGAGCCCCCTCCCAACTGGCATGACCCTGAGCTACTCAGGGCTGACCTCTTTTCTGAACACCTGGAGAATCTGACAAATAACCCTAGAGAAAAATCTTGTACACTGTTATGTTTCTCCATGAAGTGGTAGCTGATGAGTCCCTTGAATAAAACTTGTGTTTTACTCTCTTCTCATTACCAATGAAAAGAGAGCAGGATAGGAGTTAAGTTGTAACTGGCATTACAGACAGAATATATCCCTTTACAAAAGCTTGAGGGTGGAGGAGAGGGCTGCCTTTGGTGTGGCAAAGCAGCAAATCTTCTACTTTCATTGGCTGGAACACGCTGGTGGGTGAAGAAAAACCTGAGCCGATGGCAAGAACTGCAGGTGATGAGAGACAACAGGGCAAACACAGAACTGTATAAACGGTGGCACTATAAAGATAAGAAGGCAGGTCCATGACACCAGCTGGGAGCACGCCTTAGCAGCATCACTTCCAGAAATCCTGTCTTTATATCATGTGTGGCAGCATCCAGAAACATCCAAGTGTTTTTCCCTTCCTCCTTTTCCAACAAATTCTGAGTATTTCTCATTTAAAGAACTATGTACACACACGAGGCTGTTTGTCTTTTACATGAGGGTCCTTCACTTGAGGTCCTCCAATGGCTTTAGAGAGTTGGTTCCAATTGTCTTTTTGGAGATTTACTGCTTGGGACCAAACCTGCAAGAAGAAATGACAACACTAAGCACGAAGATCTTTGTACCTCAGTGCTCAAGGGTCAAGTCTTCCTAAAAATAATGACCCCCTTCACCCCTGCAGGGCTTTGATACCCAAGAAAACTTGACTCCTCAGGCTGCTGAATCCTCACCAGCAACCCTGAAAAATAGCTCCATACCTCCCTCTGATAAGGATAGTTTCTCAAGTTCAGCTTCAAGTTCAGCATCCGAGATCCTAGGGTTAGGCACACTGTTGGTATAAAGTGTCTCGTGGGGGTTGTGGGACAAGTCCAAAGGTTCTTTGGTAGTGTCCTGAAGGAGGATGTCCAACTCCTTCTCCAGCTCTTCATTGTCAAAATCTGGGAAAAAGAGAAGAATACATCAACTCCAGAGAGAAAGCACACAAGAGAAAGCCCAGAAGGGGGCTGTCAAAGCCCAGCTTAGCTTTAAAAGATGTCCGGGCCTCCTTGCAGGTTAAAAGTCGTATGAGTTGGGAGGCAGAGGGTACCTTCCTGCAGACATTCTTTCTCTGCATGGAGAGCTAGGTGATCAAGCAGGTCTGCTGACCTCACAGAACTGACCCCTCTTCCCCTGCCCTTGAAAGAGCTGCCAGTCAGAAGCCTCATGATTAAGGAACACTGGAGCATGGAGGGCCAGCAGTGCAGCTGATTAGGGAGGAAATGGCAACCCCTCTAACTTCCCCTGTGGGTGAGCCCCAGAGAGGGGTCAATTGCACCAAGAAAGCAACCCATGATCAATTCTAGTACAGCGCTGGAAGGGAGGAAGGAAAGAAGTGTCAACTCATCTGAACCACTGGGAGGGAAGACGGGGGGAAGAGGGAAGTGTCACTTTGCAAACTCACCTAAACCATTGGTTACCCCACCAGCCAGAGTCTGAGAAATTTCATCCTGGGTGTCACACAGCTGTAAAAGGCAATCGCAAAGTTTTGAACTAGGAATGGTGGCTCTGAGCATTTTAAAGTTTTCAGGAGGGAACATTCTGGATTACAAAGATCTGAGAATCAAGGAAATGTTCTTCAAGGTCACAAGGTTTTTTTTGTTTTTTCATTTTTTTTTTGGTGGTACTGAGGTTTAACTCAGGGCCTACACTTTGAGCCACTCCACCAGCCCTTTTTCTGTGATGGCTTTTTTTTTTGAGATAGGGGTTTGAGATAGGGGCTCATGAACTATTTACCAGGGCTGGCTTTGAACTGCAATCCTCCTGAATTCTGCCTCCTGAATAGCTAGGATTACAGGTATGAGCCTCTGGCGCTCAACTGGTCACAAAGTTTTAAGTCCAATTTGGGGAAAATGGACCACAACAAAGCCAAATGTGTCCTGTAAGACTCCTGCACGAGTCCCGCCCACCCCATTCCCCACCCCACACCTCCTTCCTGTACCTCCTGGATCTGGTCAACTAGGCTCTCAGCCTTCTCCACTGTGACATCCTTCATAGAGAGTTTCAGTGCTCCCACCCCAGCTTGGTAGGCATTGAAAACCTAAAGGGAAGGTCAAGATATCAGTGCACATAAAAAACATTTGGCAAAATACAGACAATATCGCTTCATCTCTGAAAGACAGCTTTACTGGGGTTTTGCCCACCCAAGGTTGATTTGACTCACACCCATTGAGGCCAAACTTCCCAACTAGGAAGGCAAAGGCAACCCCAGCCACACTCTAGAAGAACCCAGGCCTCCTTGGGAGAGACCAGCCAAACATGGCACAGTGGGGGTGGCTACCATCTGGTCTGTCTGGGAGGCATAGATGCGGTCCAGGATGCCTTGCACAGTGTCCAGCTTGGCATGCAGGGCCTCGATGCGCTTCTCTGTCCGTTGCTTGGCCTTAAGAGACCTCAGAGCCTAGGAGACATGGAGACAGAGGTCAGGGCTGGACAGGGCAGGCCTCAAGGCAAGAGGAGCATGCTCCCCAACCCCCAGACAACAAACCACCCCAGGTTTTCTTCTCTCGCATTTGTAAAAAGCTGTGATGCCTAGGGTACCTGCAGACTCTGTTCCCTAAGCTCTCTGAACTGCTGGGTCCCAGACACTGCTATGCAGCTGGAGGGGAAGAGAACTCACCAATTGCTTTTTTCCCGATCGGCAAGCTCGGCGGGCTTCTTCTTTACACCTGTGAAACAAAGGTCAGGATGGGACGAGATGGCAGGGTACTGAAGAGTGCCCAGAGCAGCACTTATACAAGGTTGCTTCTGATCTGAGGATCAAATCCATTCTCCCCATGGCTAGAACTATGAAAGCCAGCACCCCGCTGCCAAACTCGCCTCAAGTCCCCATACGGGCTTGAGCGTCTGCACATGTGAGGTAAGCTGGCCAAGGAGAAGCTGTTCCAGCCCTTCGGGGACAGACGGTACAAACAATCTCCCCACTGTGGGAGAAAGGGATTGATTCTTGAAACCAACGGTGACCTGGCACGTGTCTCTTCACTTGCAAACATGATTGTGTTTGAGAGATGGAGTGAACAAGCTCTGATTCAATATTTATCTGTCTTCTATTCAGGTAACTGCGGCCGTTACCAGGGACCACTGTAAGGCATCCCAAGAGCAGAGCAGGCAGCCCTTGGGAAGACCCGTGCAGAGGTACAGACTTGTCCTGCTCACTGCTATATCCCCTACCCCTAAGACAATGCCAGGCTTGACAAAAAACTGCACACAAGAGCATATGTAAGACATTAACAACTGTAATCTCTGGGGGAGGATTGACTTGTGTCTTTCTCCTTTATGACATTTTGTGTTTTCCAGGTTTCTGCATTGAACAGGACTAACTGTTTTTGTGATTAGTTCACAAATAAATATTTTTCTTTCCTTTTTTTTTTTTGCAGTGTTGGGGATTGAACCCAGGGCCTTACACATGATAGGTAAGGGCTCTAACACTAAGGTACATCTTCAGCCCTTTTCTTTCTTTTTCAAGAGTACTAGACATCCATGCTTATGGGCTCTGTAGCCAGCTGATTGGGGAGTTACCTCTCAGCTTCTTGGGACAAGGACTCCACCTTTTGAGAGAGAAGCTGCTCACTCTGCATCAGCTGGTAGACGCCAACATCAACATCGTTGACAGGAGACACCTTGGCATGTGGCCCCCGGGCAAACTTCACAATCTGGGGGACAGAGACAAATGACTACAGCCCCAGAACACATGCTGAGAAATTCAGAAGCAGGCATGGGCAGGCACAGGGGTGTGGACGAAAGAAATCACTGTGAGTCAACACCCAAGCAGACAAGAGTCTGTACCTTCTCCCCATTCTGCTCCAGCACGGTGACTCTCTTTTCCTTCTGTAGCTGCAGCAACACCAGGTAGAAGGTTCTCTCGTCTGGGCAGGAGTTGGCGCACAGCGTGCTCAGCTCCGACAGGGCCACCACAGGGTGGGAGGACAGAGGTGAGTTCTGATACAGACGATACACCTCCTCGGCTTTTTCCTGCAGGGAAGGCAAAGTGGGACATGGTGAGCCCTAACCCTGAGCTTCAGAATCATGACCACGCAAGGCAAGAACCAGGGAACACCAATCCCACCCTCCCTAAGAAGTGTTCTTTTTTTAAGAGGAAAAAGGATGTGCGTGTATGTGTGGGTACCTTTGGAGGAAACCTAGTGACAGTATGAAACAATGTACATGAAGTGCCAGCTCTCTACTCACATACCCACCTGGGACTTCTCATTTCTGCCTCCCCTGGACATGTGGCTCCCCACAGTGGGGAATGGCTGTGACTTGGAGCTGAGCGTGGTTTCTAGTCCCAGCCCCTGTGACCCTGCACCTGTCAGGCTCAGTGGTCCTCAGCTTCACTCTTAGAAACCGAAGAGGGTAGGTGAGACGGCACCTCAGTTCCCTCCCTGTACCAGCTTCTAACTTCACGCCAATTGGCAATACTGCAGACACAATTGTTACTGAGTCTAATGCAGAGTCTTAAGAGAAAAGTATGGGACAAACAGGAGAGATAGGGTTAGTGAGAAGACCAAGAAACAGAAATGCCAAGTAACAATGCCACTATTTCCTTCAAGCATGAATGTGATTTTCATGTTTGAAAATACATGGATAGAAATCTGAGGATTTGGAGGGTTCATAAAACAACAATAAAACCCAAACAGTTGATGACAGAGTTCCAAGATGTGCTTTAATTACTAGTTGAAGTAGGTGGAGGGGTATCTCAGGACAGTTGGCGTTTCTGAGAACAGAAGTATGAGTCGATATGGGGTGTGCTTATTCCACAGAGGGGAAGAGAGCAAGAGTAGAGGCATTTCTGTTATATAAAGTGTAACATCTCACACGTCATCCTCTGTTCTGCAGCAGGTGGGCGGTCACTGGAGGGACTGCTACAGCTACATCAACAAAGCCAGCGACAGCTGGCAAAGGATGTACTGTAGGGTTAGGATTAAAGAAAGGGAGGCCATTTATGCAAGAGAAGAGGTAGGGCTGAACAAGAGAGGATATGGGAAACAAGGAGAGAGAAGGGGTGGTTTCCAGCAAAACTGAGATGATAAAACTGGCAGCCATGGTGCCAGACTATAGGACTGGAGGAGGAGGTGGTCTGGAGGAGGACTGCTGGATGCAATGCTGTGAAGTAGAGCACAAATGCAGGAGGGAAAGCCACTCTGACAGGAAACACAGAGCACTCCACCTTGGACATCTCCTGAGGGGATACCTAAGAAGACAGGTACAGCAGACAATCAGATGTACAAACCTGAAACTCAAAGGAGACACCAGGACTGCAGAGAGAACTCTGAAAGACCTCCGCACACAGACGGCAGTGAAAGCCACAAGTGCAAGTGAGACCACCCAAGGACACTCAGGGAGGAAAGTACCAAGCTTAAGGAAGACAATGTGTGGGCAAAGGGACCCACAAAAGAGACCAGCAGAGCTGCTGAGGGAGAACCAAGGAGAACCTGCAGTGCAGTTCAATCAAGTTCAAGGAACAGGGCAATTTTAACAAAGTCCACAGTGTCAAAGGCAGCAGAAGAGTCTAATAAGGTAGAAATTACAGTTTTCTCCAGATTTGATTACCCCATCAGATAGCAACCGTTCCTCTAAAGCCACGATGGGAAGAACAGTATGGTACCGACACATGAAGAGATTCATGGTACACAACATTAAGAAGTATTGAGCCAAGGATGGTGGCTCAATACTTCTTAATCATGATTCAGGAGAATCATGGTTCAAAGCCAGCCCAGGCAAAGTTAGTGAGACCTTATCTCAAAAAATAATGGGCCAGGGGCACGGCTCAAGTGGTACAGAGCTTCATAGCAAGAGCAAGGCCTTGGGTTCAATCCCCACCACTGCAAAATAAAATAAAATGACATAACATAAAATAAAATAACACTACTGAGAAAACTGACTGTCTGGGAAAAAACGGGTTTCTCCTCACCACATATATAATAATAAATATTCAAATATTTAATCTAAATTCAAAAAATAAAGAGTACAAACAAATTCAAAGAAAATATACAAGAATATCTGATTAAACTTGAGGGAAAGGATGCCTTCCTAAGCAAGGTTGGAAATTCAGTAGTCACAAAGGAGAAATTGAGAGCTGACTACAAAAACATGAAAACTTTTGTAACGGACATCATAAGCAAAAATTAAGCAATAGACTGGGAAACAGTATTTACATCCCTAATGTCAAATGCATATATACATCTTTCCCTAATACATGAAGAACACCTACAAATTAATTAAAAAAACAACGTAACATAAAAACAGGCAATTCACATAGGGGCTTACATATGCAAGAGGCCAGCAGGCAAGTAAAAAAATGCTCCACTCACCAGCAGAAGTGACTTAAAAGACCTCCAGCATCCAGTGCTCTCTGAGAGACTCTTGACTAAAGTATAAATTAGTACAAAGTTTTGAAGAGTAACTGGCAATTTTTATTAAAATGTAGAAGGCATGTATGCATTGCTAGAAATCCTTTCAATAAGAATAAGAGCAGAAGCGCACAGATAGATGTCAAAGCAGCAACTTTTTGTAATGGGAAGATGGAGTGACTGGAATGACTTAAAAGTCCATCCATGAAGCAACTGTCACATAAACTGCAGCATAGCGAAAGATTATTACACAGCCATCAAGAAGTATGAAGAGGATGTATGTCATGGAGGACCTGGAAAGATGCTCCTGATAAATTAAAGTACAAAGGAAAAAAGAAAAAACTGGAGTGGGTGTGTACACATACAAAGCTATTCATTCATTCATTCAACAAGTATTTATTGACTCTCTTCTATACAGTAGGCATGGTTCCCAGAGTGTGGAACTATGGAAGTTCTCCCTTCTAGTAGGAAGTTTACAAGCAAACAAGTAAGATTTTTCTGGCTAGCACTAAATGCTCACAAGAAAATAGAAAAATCACATATATAGAATGTGACAGGACAAATAAGAAAAAATGTGCTTTGATTTTGTACTTACTGAAAAGTTAGGCAAACAGTACAAAAAAAAGAAAAGGTGGGCATGTATCCAAAAGGGAAGCAACACACACTCTAAGAGACAGAAATGGTATGAACAGAAAAGTACTTTCAGATAAGAAATTTTTGTTTATTTGGTTGCTGTTTTCCTGCAGGGCTGGGGATTGAACACAGGCCCTGTACGTGGTAGGCAGGAACTCTGCCACTGAGCCACATCTCTGTCCTAAAAAGGAGACTGTCATATCTCTGTATAATCTTTCTAAAACAGCAAAATCATGGGCAATTTTTGCTTTTCTGCATTTTTTCAGTATTATTTCAAATAATAATACTGGTTCTGATCTTGGGAATATGAATCTACCTCAGGTTCAGGCTTTCGTTCTTATCTGTATCTTTCTCTTCTACATCCAGATAAGAGCCTTTCGTGTCATAAACGTAAACAAGTCCCTCCCTCCCCAGAGAAAACAGCAGAGTCATCACATATTTGAAAGCAGAGGTCACTGAATGAGATGTGAAGTGTTCTGCTTGGTGAACAGGGCACAGAATTAACAGCACTATGCTCCTGCAGTGCTCAATGACTTATCTTTCTACTCAGACAAGACTAGACTGCATTGCTTTCAGAGAGCTACGCAATTCCACCTCGCCCAACCCTAGATTGTCAGTCTAAAACCGTTATCTCTGGGGCTCTGTGGATCTACCTCTTCTTCACTCCAGGTTGGAGAATATATGAGGTAAAGAGAACCTAACCTTGGCCCAGAACCCCACCCTCCAATCTCTATAGGGACCCTGACTGAGTCCTGGACAACAGGGTCCTGAGGGGTGGGATGGAGAAAATATGGCCTACTTAGTCAAAAGTCACAAGGGATGGGAGACTGAGGAGAAATTGGTGCTTCCCTTAGGATGGGGGGTAGGGATTCTGGCTGACTCCAGCTATGTGGAAGCCTCTAAGGATATTCAAGGGCCTTCAGGTTTGGTTTGGTCTGTGAGTTTCAAAACTATCCAGCTGCTTGGGCAGTAGAGATAGGAGGATCACTGTTCGAGGCCAGCCTGGGCAAAAAAGTTAGTGAGACCCTATCTCAAAGTAGAAGCCAGGGGTGGTAGTGCATGGCTGTAATCCCATCTAGATAGAAGGCAGAAGTAGGAGGGCTGCAGTCTCAGGCAAGCTAAAGCAAAAAGCATGATATTCTACCTGAAAAAGATCTTTAAGCAAAAAGGTTTGGAGGCAAGGCTCAAGTTGTAGAGGACTTGCCTCATAAGTAGGAGTGCCTCAGTTTAAACCCCAGTACTGCAAAACAAACAAAAACCTAACCACTGTCTGCAGCATACTCCTGCTACCTGTTGTTTAGTCAACTTCATAAACACCCACACCCTTCAAGCTTCCTGTAAATCTGTCCATGGCAGTTATACTGGGGGTGGGGCAGTTTGCACTGGGTTATGGAGTGGGTGAGAGGTGAGGAAGTGGTGACAGTAAAGGTGGTCAAGGAGACGCAGAGCAGTAACCAGGCAGAGCCCAGGATAGGAAACACTTGGTGGGTCAGAAGCTAATGACAGCGCCAAGAGAGGGAACCAGGATATGCACAGCAAGTCACTGGGACACAGAGACAGGATAGGGTGGACAGACTCAAACGCACATGCAGAACAAAGGAAGGCTGCTTCTCCTTAGAGCTCAGGAGATTTGACTGAAAGTAGCAGGACTGAATCTAAAGGCCGGTTCAGGAGCTTCTGCCTTCGGCGAAGTGGCTGCAGAGTGGAACGGGAGTGGGGGTGGGAGAGGGCTGGCTGCAGAGTGGCTCATAGACACTCACACAGCTGGGACCATCCATGATGGAGGACATAGGGGACATAGGGCAAATCTAAGGCTGTGGATGGGCTGCAAGCCTCCGGAGGTGAGACAAGGGACAGTTCCACGGTCATGACGAGGCGTGGGCTAGGAGGGAAGACAGTCCAGGAGGAAGATGACCCTGAAGGAGAGGAGGAAGGGCATGAGCACTTGTGGCCTCATGGAGGTTGAAGAGCAGGGACAGTGCAAGCAGGCCATCAGTAAACTGGAAGGGGGAATGGTTAGAGCCAGAGAGTAGGAAATCGGAGCTTCGTTTAAATTTAGGGGCAGGCAAAGGTGAAAGTCACAAATCTTCAAAAATTCTGGGAACTTCTTGTCAATAAACTATAGAAGGTGAAGCACTTCCTAAGCTGGGTGCTGGTGACTGACATCTATAATCCGAGCTACTCAGGAGGCAGAGATCAGAAGCCATTGTGGTTCAAAGCCAGTCCAAGCAAATAGTTCATGACACCCTGTCTCGAAAAATCCCATCACAGAAAAGGGCTAGTGGGATGACTTAAGGTGTAGGTCCTGAGTTCAAACCCCAGTACTGTCAAAAAAAAAAAAAAAAACTTCCTAAACTATAGCTTATTGTGAATCCTACAAACACCAGAAAGTTATCAGCTGTTACTGACAATTCATGGGCAAAGGATCACCCTTAAAAAGTCCAACAAATACATAACACTCTAAAGTACAGAACAAAAGAGACCAGGTGAACTCAGCTATCAACTCTGTCACTGTAAAAAGAGACAGTCTTTTTCAAAGAATGTGTGTGGAGGCACCTGTTGTCATACCAGATGACACCCAGACCCTACCTCCTGCACACCCACCTTTAGCAGCTCCACAGCCACAAGCACCTCCTCAGCTGGAACCTTGTTATCCCCTAGCATGTTAGAAAGAGTCCACTTGAGGGGCTTCAGCAGGAAGACTCCAACTCCCCATGAGATCCAGCTGCTGTCTACACTGGCCATGAAGTCGGATTCTCGTTGCAGCTCCCCTCGACTACAGAGAAAGAAGGATAAAGGGCATGTAGGAGCCCTTAAGGCAATATCCCATTCCAGTGTCCACCTGCCCCTTCCCCCAAAGAGGCACTTTATCATCGCTGTCATGACCATTTATTAGGCAACACCGTGCCAGCTACCAAGAGTGGCATATTTATACTCCAGCACTAAGCATCACCACCGCTGCATGATAAGATGGCGTCATTAGCATGTTAACCAATGGGGAGACTGAGGGTCTGAAAAAGGTGAGGGAACCATGATTTGACTGGCTCCAAAGCACAAGCATTCTAAGACTCTTACAGAGACCCCAGGGGCTCCACTGGGCCTATGCTGAGGTTTCCTTTTATAAATGCAGCTGGAAATAATCAAATGAAAACAAAAGTAATAGATGGGTTTGGTGGCACACGCCTGTAACCCTAGCACTCTGGAGGCTGAGCTTCACGAATTTGAGGCCAGCCTGGGTGACACAGTGAGTTCTAAGTTTGCCTTGGCTAAAAAAATAAAGTAACAGACTGCAGTACAAGATATAAGGAAGAAAACAAAGATGTACAGATCAAGGCTTTCTGCTGTCCCTACGTGAGGCTGGAGGAAGGATGTAAGTGTTGCCTGGTACTTCTAACAGCAGCAGCAATCTACTGACTGCTCACCATGGCAGTCCCAAAGTCCAGGGACATATAAAGATCTTCAGGTTCTCACAATAAAACAAAGGTCACCACTACCATTTTATAATTGGTCAAACTAAGGCTTAACAATGGCATGTAATCTGTCCAGGGCCACATAACTTAGCAAATGGTAGAGCAAAGATTTGAGCTCAGTCCTCTGGTCCTCAAGCTGTCTACTACTGTGCTACCTACACTGCTTCCACAGGGAAAGATCTCCCTCAGAAATTCTTCAGGTGTCAGGTCCAGTGAAGCACAGGAAGCGCCAATGGAGGACCAGCAGTCAGGAGAGGAGATATCAAGATGACTGTAGGTGACTGTCCTTTCTGTAGTAAGGACAAGGTTCTAATCTTCTTCCTCACTGACTACTTCAGCTACTGTCTCTCCTGTTCTCCACTTCCAGCATGAGGTAAAACTTTTTCCCCAGTACACTTTCTCAGAAAGGACCATTTCTAAAAGGCTTGTATATCAAGGTCAGCCAATGGAAAGGTAGTGGGAACAAAAGTAGAGAGGGAGACCATTTAATCAGAAAGAGAAGCAAGCTAAAAAACACATCAGAGTTGACTTTCTCCCTCATTCACTGCGAGGAAGGATATGTACAATGTGAAGTACAAGTGATTTAGAATCCAAAGATCAGGGATGCAGTCCTGGGGCTACCTCTAACCAGCCATGTAACGCTGAGTACATCACTGGATGTCTCTTACACTCAGTTTCCTCTTCTGTTTGCTGCAGATAACTGTACTCTCCTGACATTAGACTGCTGAGAGGGTCAGATGAAATGGAATATGCAAGTATCGCACACTGTGAAGTGCTGTACACCCATTTGGTGCTAATGTCACCTCCAAAACACTGCACCTGTCACATATTACCTAAGGAACCTTTTAGAGCCCCCAGATACTCGGTTAAGCCCTCATCCTTCTTCATGTCCTCTTTGCTCCTGACAGTCTCGGCCTGGGAAAGGTCAGGTACGTGGCCTGTTGTGGGGTTACCTGGCGGATCTCTTCCTCACGGATGCTTAGCTCTTCCCTATTTCAAAGACCCCATCTCAGAGATCTGCTCCAGGGGTGATCCAAATTTGGAGACCCTTATGAAATAACTACATAACGGGATTCCAGTTCAGACAAGTAAGTCACTGTCACCTCTGTCAAGCTGGGTTCTCCTCTGAAACCCATCGAACTGGGATTATCCCTAACCCCTGACCCTTCTCCCTCCAAAACATAGCGCAGCCTCCTCCCTGTCCTCCTCCTCCCATCCCGGGCCCGCCGTGGCTGGGACCCACCCTGGGGGAGCCGTCCCCGCCCCCGCCCGCCCGCTCCCGGCCGGCCCGGCCCGCCCCTCACCGCAGCAGGTCCTGCAGCACGGTGGCCAGCCCTAGAGGGACGCTGCCCTTGCGCTGAAAGGCCTCCTGCAAGTCCCGCAGACGCAGGCGCACTACCCCCTGGCGGCGGCTGTGGCTCAGCACCAACGGCGCCCAGAAGCCCATCTTGCTGTCCCAGTCGGTGCTGTTCACCTCGCGACTCCTCTTGAAGGCGGAGAACAGGAAAGACATGCGCTCCTCATCCTCCTCCCACTCAGGGGGCAGGAGGCCCGCGGGGTCTCCCCCGGCCGAGGCCTCGGCCTCCCGCTCCGGAGACCACATCGGGACCCCAGCCCCGCCAAGGATCGGAACACAGCCCAGGCCCTAATTCTCTTCGGCCTTAGTTCCCTCCCGGCTTCCGTTCCCCGACTACCTCCTCCTCCGTCATCACGTCACCCCAGCGTGAAATAAGTCCTGCAAATCTTCAAGGCGCAAGCGTTGTGCTACCTTCCGTTCGCTGGGGGGCGGGGTGATGACGTCACCCTCGGAGAGACACAGCGCTTGCGCCGCCCCTCCTTCCAAGGCCTTTGTGCGGCAAGGAGGCATTGCGCGTGCGCCATAGAATTTGGCCAAGTACTGTGGAGACTACCGGTACCGGAGGCGCTCGGACTGCCCAGGTGGATCTCGAGCTTTGTATCCCTGTTTGCCGCTTCTAGTCCAAGATCTTTAGTATCTTCAGACTTCCAAGATACTTCCTTTGACGATGTCACCCGATGAACAGAACTCTCGGTCACTCAAGCTCCGTGACACTGCATGCACTTATTTTTAGAGACTAGTGAGCGTCTACCACTCTAGCTCCCCGGCTTCTGTTCTGGGGTGTCCCCGTTTTCTACTGATCCTTTAAGATCCGGCTTCCCTGAAACCTTTGACTGTCCTGACTCGTTGCTGATCTCTCCTGGACTACAGTTTAGCATTTACTAATCTGTCCATGGTTCCTTCCCACGTTCCCTGAGGGGTAGGACAGGCACAGTGACTCTGATGATACCTTGCTGTGACAGCAGTCCTAAGAAAATACTCCATAATTAGAAAGATGGATAAACTAAAATCTTCCCTACAATTATTTTGTAATCCTGTTAGAATGAGAGCTCACATACAGGGAGCTCTCATTCTAACAGGATCCTCATGAAGAATCTTAAAAGCAATGAATCTGAATCTCTTCAGTGTCGAGAAAAAAATGGTGGGGGGTAGTGTTTTTTCCTGAAGCTGGGCAAGTAGTCTACCAACAGGAGCAAAATTGGTTTTCTTTTTAACAGAATCACTTAAAAGGTGAAAAAGATAGGTAGCACCTAGCCAAGATCAATGGTAGTGTTCAAAGGGAATCTGAAATAGAGGAAGAGATCACAAGGTCTCTTAAGAGGAAACATTGTAATTAAACTTTGAAATTCACAGGTGACAAGAATCTGTTCAGATCAAAATAACCCACACAGGAAGTCACAGGATGTCACAAGACGTTCTTGAGTCCCCCACCCACTGCTACACAGTTCCTGGAACAATAGATCCTTTCCGTTCCAGGAGACATAAATCATACCCTAGGGGTCATACCCTGACCTAGGGGTCAGGTGGGCCCAATAATCATTTGTACATTGTAATTCTGTAAATTCCTAGCCTGTAGGAATTTGCTGATCTGGGACCTCAGCCCTGTAGACTGGACCTAGACACAGGAAATTCTCATGGGCAGCCTGGATAACTACTCAAATTCCAAAGGCTAATACTGTGTTCTCACCTTGGAGAAGACCCCCTTTGCGTTCAGTGAAAATGTATTCTTTTCCTAATAAACTTTACTATCACTCTCACTACGGTTCCTGTCTTGCCTGAATAGTCTCTAGCAGGTGGCCTTCCTGCTAGAGCAGATTAGCCTCTGCCACTCGTTGCCTGTGTGTAAACGTTTTGGGCTTGTTTATTCTTAAGTAAAACAGTATTTCCTAACATGGCTGTTTGAAAGAAATGTTATGATGAGTGATGTTATCACTCAGTTTCAGAGTATAGAGTGGTAGGAACTCAGTGAAAGGATGAATTTGAATAAACATTTTGAGGAAGGATTGTTAGAAAAGGGAATCCTATTCCCCCCGAGAGACAGAGAGCCAGGTGTGAATGCAATCAACAAAGCAGAGTTTATTGGGCTGGCTAGCCAGGGTCGAGCTCCCACACGGACACGCAGGACCGGTTAGGAAAACACGACCCTGAGCCTCTTTAGGGGAAATCTTATATAGACCACTATCTGCCGTTACAGCAAAAGCCCGCGCAGCACTTAACCAATGATTTTATAACACAGAGTAAAAGGGTCAGCAGTTGCGCGCGTATTTTTCGTTTATCAAACATTGAGCAAGCAGGCAGCAGCACATTCTTGCACCGTACATCCCGTCCACCTTTCGCAACCTTTCTTCACCATTTCCTCACATTCTATATCCCGAGCCGTAGCCCTGCTGCCCTGCTTATCTTAACGGGTGCCATCGGCGTACCAGTTTCTCCAACAGGGGTGGGCCGTTGAGATGACATCTCATTCTTCTTATCCCTTTCGATTCCCCCCCTTTTCTTATGGCCTAAATTGAGGAATCATTTCTCAAGGGGATGAAGAGGCCTGATATTGTTGGCGGAGGACCAGAAGTTGGATAGTATTTAATTCGACTTTTGACAAAAGTCATAAGTCGGTTTAGAATCCAGGTCCTATGGTAACAAGTAATAGGATGATTATTATTGGCCCTGCCAGTGCAGATAAAAGGTAGCAACCATGGGGACTGGTTAAACCAAGACTCGAACCAGCTTTCCCCGCCTCTTTTTCGTTTCTTTGTTCCAGGCTCTTTCGAAGTTTAGACATGGAGTCACGAACAACTCCGGTATGGTCAGCGTAAAAACAACATTCTTCCCTAGAGCAACACATAGTCCCCCCTTTTGGAGGAACAACAAGTCCAGACCTCGTCGGTTTTGAAGTACTACCTCAGACAGGGAAGTGAGGGATTTTCTAGGTGGCTAATGGAGGTTTCTATTCTCTCTATATCTTTCGTCTATGGCTGCGCACAGCGAAGACATCCCTTTGCTGTTGTGGCCAAAGAAAGCTATGCCGGTCCTGCTCCCGCTAACCCTAGGCTAGTAGGTAGCAATAGTTACTGTGGAAATAGGCTCTCTTTCTTTTTTCAACCATTTTTGTATTCCAGTATGAATATAGACTCTCTTCCGAATGATAGAGGATGCGGGCAGCACAAGCCACTCATAACACAGAATTCTTTAGAGCTGTTAAACACCTTAGTTGATAGGCACGGGGTGAGTCCGGACGCGAGCATAGCCACCACCCATTGTCCTTTGGAATTACCCATTTATAGCATTTTCCCAGGTAGAACTGGCGTTAATAACAGTACATAAGTCCCGTCTGTTCTTTGGCACTTTTCCTAAGCAGGTTTCCTTGGCCGCTTACCTGTTGTATGTCAGACCCTCTTACTACGTCTCCCAGGAACATTGAGTAGGGTTTTCTCAGATGAGGTATCGTGAGTGGTGTTTAGCCCTATTGCCTCATAGAATGGGCCTCACATCATAACATAACCAACAAGTTAGTCATGTTAGGGTTGGTGTGGTTTAACGTCAGGAAGGCAGCACCCACTAGTCCCAGAGGGGGTCTTTAGATCCGGTCATGAGACTGGGCCTCACCAGGGAGGGCTGGTTCTGATGGTCTTGGAGTTGTAACATTAGCCCGGGCTATGGTTGAGGGAAGGTGGTAGTGTGAAGGTTGGGGAGATGGCTTTACATTGTGCGGCCTAAGTACCTTATTAGGGCCTACTGCGTGGACGGTGGCCCGGGGCTCAAGTTTTAATCTGACCACTATGGTCAGCCAGCATGTCCACCATATTTATAAAATACAATTCCCCATGCCCTTACCTTGTATCCACCCTGGGGTGTCCTTCTTTGCCAGTTTTCAGTGAAAGTGACCTTGATTCTATCTAGATCCGTGGGCTGGCATTTGTATCGGGGTTGGAGATTCTGCTTCCCCATAATATCCCATTTACAAAGGCAAATTTGACTAGGTCTGATTTTGATATCCCCATTTCCATTCACATCGTTGGATGTGACGCATGGCCCATGACTACAGAAGGAGTATTGTATCCCCCACATTCTTTGCTCTTTTGGTGGCCCGGGCAAGCATAAAACCCATACGTCGGGCTGATCCGGGGCGGTAGCCGTAGGCAGGATTGATGTCTCTGAAGCAGAATTGTAGTTCCGGCCACCAAGTTCCCAATGGGGCAGTGTGAGTAGTCTCGTTGAGGGTGGTATGTGTCTCCCCATCGGTGAGTATCCAGGTTTGTTATAGGCTGGTGAGGGTTGGTTTCGGCAAGGCTTCCTGCTCGGGCATTGAGCAGGATCAGGAAGATCATCCAACTCATTCGTGGATGGCTCCTGAAGACTCTGCATGTTTGGGCCACAAGAGCTTTAGCTTTAATGGGTTGTCTGGGTGCCGCCGTACGTCCACTCTTTAGCCCTTTGTTTTGATGATTGCTCGACGCACGTGGGAGTATGGATCAAGGTCCGATGCCGTCAACCTTGAGGGCGTGGGGGTAGTAAACAGTACAACATAAGGTCCTTTCCATCTAGGCTCTAGGGTTTTGGACTGATGCTTTTAACCCATACCATGTCACCCGGGACTATGCCATGTTCCGTGCCGGGCCCTCTCAGCAGTATGGTATGCTTGAATTAGGGGCCATATTTGTTGTTGTACTTTAGCTAAAGCCTGTAGCATAATCAGGTAATTTGGGGCCAGATCACCTAGTCTGGGCTTAAGGTCCTTGAATGATGGGGGGTGGAGCCCCATACAGGATCTCAAAGGGAGTTAGCCCATGGACATGGGAGTTCCGGACTCGGAAGATGGCCAAGGAAGGAGCGTCACCCAATCACCGCCAGTCTCCAGGGCCAATTTGGCTAAAGTCTCCTTTAGTGTCCTATTCATCCTTTCTACTTGCCCTGAGCTCTGGGGGTTGTATTCACAATGTAGCTTCCAATTGGCCCCCATAGCCTGGGCTAGTCCCTGCAGGACTTTACTAACAAAAGCCGGACCATTATCTGACCCAATTGCCTCGGGCACCCCATATCTGGGTATGATTTCCTCTAGCAAGCCTTTGCCACTACCTGACTCGTCTCCTTCTTTGTAGGAAAAGCCTCCACCCAGCCGAAAAGGTATCTATGAATACCAGCAAATATTTGTACCCAAACTTTCCGGTTTTACCTCAGTAAAATCCACTTCCCAACTTCTTCCCGGAGCCCTCCCCCGTTCCCGAGTACCTGTATGGTGCCCCTCCCTTCGTCCTGGTTTCATGATTGTGCAGCTGGCACAATCTTCCACAATTTGGCGGACTGCTATGGTCTGGTTCGGAATCGGAGCTGCGCGGATGTCAGCAGTCTAGCAATTTTCTCCGCCCCAAATGGGTGGACTTATGTAAGTTAATCAACAGGAATCGTCCGAGTTTTTCAGGCAGAATTAACTTGCCTTCCAAGTCGCTTTCTCCATCCGTTTTCCCCTTCTCTAATGGGGAGTGGGCTCTCATCCAGTGAAATCCTCGTGGAGTATTCTGGTCGG